TAACAACAGTTTAAAACAGTAAATAGAACATCAAGTTAAAACCACTTAATATCTCATTATGTATATGCAAGTATTTGAGGAAGGGGTGGGATCCCAACTACGGAACATTTCTGTCTCCAAGCATTTCAGAGAAAACAAGCAACTTCCTTCACATCCTTCTGGCTTTGTCCCAAAAGCTTTCGGGAAATCATGCAACACTTGAGCCAGAAGGGAAAGAATTCCTTCTCTCCATCCTGTCACCCACTGAAGCCTCGCTCCTTTGCCTCTGCCCGAGGCTTGGGAGTCGTAGTACCAGCTGCCACACTTGTCTGTTTGCCAAAAATATCTGCCATCAGAATTTGAACCCAATGCTTTCTTGCACCATGTTCACCTCCCTTCTGATTCAAGAACTCTATGGGATTTTTAATAAAACAGCTTCCAGCCAGCTGAGCATTTTCTTCCTTACTCCTACCATATTTAACCTGCCATTTATATCATTCTTAGTCATCGAGTTTCATGATGTCTCAGACATTTGGGGAAACAGAGCAAGCACCTTCCCCTGCTTTCCCCCCAGTTTTCTAGACCTAAGTGTATGGGTGCATCTACACTATAGGCTTCGAGAGAAAAATATAAGAAGTTCTCAGTTAAAACGAAAATAATTTCTGAATGCTAGAGACTTAGCTAACAAGGAGATAAAAGCCCAAGTACAGGATATGTAGTCAGATGAATCAAGTCAAGTCATCCTTTGGAATCAAGTCAAGATCTCATTCTTGTTCATGGAAGTTTTGCTTGGAAAATTCATGTTTTAAGTGTCTTTATTTCATGGTTTAGATTCTTGGATTCTATGCTTTTATATTCATGTCTTGGGTTCATGTTTCCTGATTCTTTGCGATATAACCCAGAATATCAAGGCAGATAGTCCACAATATCAGCTTTGAACTGGGTTATCTGGGGCCCCTTCCTCACAGCTTAAAAGAATCCCACATTATCTGTTTTGAACTGGGATATATGGCAGTGTGGCCTCATATATTCCAATTCAAAGCAGAGATTGTGGATTATTCTGCCTTGATATTCTGGGTTATATGGCTCTGTGGAAGGGACCTGAGTCCAAACTGCCATATAATCCAGAGCAAAGCTCCTCCTCTTGGGCTCCTCTCTTACAAATACACTTTTATTCCTATCTCATCCAGGGTATTAACCCTTTAACATTTTATCGCATACATCTGGCCTGCCCTTATGTTTGATTTTACTATGCTATTTTATACTATTTATTGTATTTGTTATTTTATATTTTGTTTGATGTATTTTTGTTATGTTGTGTCCAATTATGTTGTATTATTTTTGGGCTTGGCCTCATGTTAGCCGCCCAGGGTCCCCTTTAGGGAGGTGGTGGTGGGTTATAAATAAAGATTATTATTATTATTATTATATTATTATTATTATTATTATTATTATTATTTGAAACACAACAAGATGAGTCCACAGCAGACACTGCTGGCTGTTGTATTGGATCACACGTCGGACACTTCCCAAGTGTCTAGGACTGTGTGATGTATTGGCAAATAATGCGTGCAGATCCCAGTAAGGTGGCCTTCTGCAGCTGGCAGATGGTAATTTTGTCAGCGCCGATTGTGTTTAAGTGCAGGCCAAGGTCTTTAGGCACTGCACCCAGTGTGCTGATCACCACTGGGACTACCTTGACTGGCTTATGCCAGAGTCTTTGCAGTTTGATCTTTAAATCCTCATATCGTGTCAACTTTTCCAGTTGTTTCTCTGCAATCCTGCTGTCATGTGGGATTGCGATATCGACGATCCAGGCTTTGTTTTTTAACACGACTGTGAGGTCAGGAGTGTTGTGTTCATTTTTTAAATCCTCATATTGTGTCAGCTTTTCCAGTTGTTTCTCTTCAATCCTGCTGTCGCCTGGGATTGCAATATCGACGATCCATACTTTGTTTTTTAACACAATTGTGAGGTCAGGAGTATTGTGCTCCAGAACTCTGCCAGTCTGAATTCGGAAGTCCCAGAGTAGTTTGACGTGTTCATTTTCTGTAACCTTCCGGCTCATGATCCCACCAGTTCTTTGTCGCAGGCAGATGGTATCTGTGGCCAGGGGCGGCTCAACCCATTACGCAGAGTAAGCATTCGCAGTATAGTTGATTTTGCCCAGGGGCGCTCTGGGGGAAAATAGACCTTGACATATGCGAGTTGTAGTTACTGGGATGTATAGTTCACCTACAATCAAAGAGCATTCTGAACTCCACCAATGATGGAATTGAACCAAATATGGCACACAGAACTCCCACGACGAACAGAAAATATATATTAATGGTTGGTTGGTGGGAGGGGCAAAATACTGTTTGCTTACCATTGAAAATTACCTAGGGCCACCTCTGTCTGTGGCACAAGTTCCAATGAATCATCTGAGCAACGGTGTTATGCCTCTGCTTGTAGTCTGTCTGCGCGATCTTCTTGCAGCAGCTGAGGATGTGATCTATTGTTTCATCTGCTTCCTTGCAGAGTCTACATTTGGGATCTGTTGTCGACTTTTCAATTCTGGCTTTGATGGCATTGGTTCTAATGGCTTGTTCTTGGGCTGCCAGAATCAGGACCTCCGTCTCCTTTTTCAAAGTTGCACTTGTGAGCCACAGCCATGTTTTTTCTTTGTCAATTTGGCTCTGTTTTTGCCAGAAACTGTCCATGAGGGCCTTCTTTCGCCAGTTTTCTCTTCTGCTCTGGATTGTGTTTTTACGGTATTTGCTCTTTGTCTTTTGCACTTTAAGCAGTTTTCTACTCTTGACTTCCCTCAATGTTGGTTCTTGACTGCCTTTCACATAATCTGCCAGTGCATGTTTCTCTTCTTCTGCCGTTTGTTTCACTTGCAGAGCCCTCTGCCTCCTGATTTTCTGGGCAGGTAAAGTCTGTCGACATCACTACGCAGGTGTAATGAGTAGGATTGTCGTCAGTTTTCTTGTTTTTCTGTCCAGATCATCCAGCTCTGCTTGTGTCCAGTTCACAATTCCAGCAGTGTATCTAATGACAGGGATGGCCCAGGTGTTGATAGCCTTGATCGTATTTCCGCCATTTAATTTGCTCTTCAAAACCTTTCTGACTCTTTGGATATATTCTTTGCTGACCACATTTTTCACTTGCCCATGCTTGATATTGTCCAACTGTATGCCCAGGTATTTATATGCTTCAGGCTGATTGCATTTTATGGTTTGTCCGTTTGGCATCTCTATGCCCTTGCTGTGAGTAATTTTCCCTTTCTTCAATGCCCCTGTGGCACATTTGTCTAGGCCAAACTCAATACTGGTGTCAGTGCTGAAGATTCTGACTGTGTTGGTCAGTGACTCGATTTCAGTTTCTGATTTTCCGTAAAGCTTTAGATCATCCATGTACAGTAAGTGGGAAATTTTTGGTGAATTTCTTGCTGTTTGGTAGCCAAAGTTTGTTTTCTGTAGAATTACTGACAGAGGGATCATTACCATTATTATTATTACTAGCGGTACCCGCCACACGTTGCTGTGGCCAAACTTCTCTCTTTCCCTCCTTCCTTCACTCCCTCTGTCCTTCCTTCCTGTCTTTCCTTCTCTTCTTCCTTCCTTCTCTATCTCTTTGCTTCCTTCCCCCTTTTTCTTTCTCTTCTGCTCTCTTCCTTCTCTCTTTCCTTCCCTCCCTCTTTCTCTACATCTTCCCCCCTTCCTTCGCTCCCTCTTTCCTTCCTTTCCCTTTTCTTTCCTTCTCTTCCTTCTTTCCTATTTTTTTCCTTCCTTCCCTTTTCTTCCCTTTTCCTTCTCCTCTTTCCTTCCTTTCTCTCTTTGCTTCTCTTCCTCTTCCTTCCTTCTTCTTTCCCCTCCTTTTCTTTCTTTCTTTCTTTCTTTCTTTCTTTCTCCCTCCCTCTTTCTTCCCTTTTTCTGTATTGTCATTTAGCTTTTCGTCATTTAGCGTTTTGGGGCTTTTTAAGTCCCTTCTGCTGTGTTTTTCAGTGTTTTTATGAGTGAAGGACATACATTGGGTTGTTAGGTGTATGTTGTCCAAATTTGGTGTCAATTCTCCCAGTGGTTTTTGAGTTCTGTTAATCCCACAAACGAACATTACATTTTTATTTATATAGACTAGCCGTCCCCTGCCATGTATTGCTGTGGCCCACATGGGGGTTCTGTGTGGAAGGTTTGGCCCAATTCTGTCATGGGTGGGGTTCAGGTGAACTATAAATCCCAGCAACTACAACTCCAAAAATGTCAAGATTCTATTTTCTCCAAACTCCACCAGTGTTCACATTTGGGCATATTGAGTATTTGTGTAGAGTTTGGTCCAGATCCATCATTGTTTGAGTCCACAGTGATCTCTGGATGGAGGTGAACTACAACTCCAAAACCAAAGGACACTGCCCACCAAACCCTTCCAGTATTTTCCGTTGGTCATGGGAGAACTGTGTGCCAAGTTTGGTTCAATTCCATTGTTGGTGGAGTTCAGAATGTTCTTTGATTGTAGGTGAACTATAAATCCCAGCAACTACAACTCCCAAATGACAAAAATCATATTTTTTGAGTGATGGTCACTCCTTGTGTAGTGAGACGTTTTGTTGCCAAATTTGGTGTGATTTCGTTCATTGGTTCTTTTGTTTTTAAGGTACTCATTATGACCAGAGCATTTTTTTATATATAATTATTATTATTATGTGGGATTCTATACAACTGTGTGAAAAGGGCCTTAAAGGAACTGTTTCCCGACTGAAAGAAACAAAAAAAGTGAATGCACAGTCTCCATTTTGGCCCTGCCTACACTGCACTGCTATTGCGCTGCGATTCCCCTTTAATTTGCCACAGTGGAATGCAAGAGATTGGTAACTTTGTTGAGGGGCAGAAAAGTTCTCAACGCTCTCCCTGAAGATTCTGACGCACGTTTCCATGGCAATTAAAGCGGGACGGTAACCCCTTCCAGGAGAGTGCCAGTTTGTTTCCCCTGTTGGGCTGTCTCGCGCCAGGCTCTTCCCGGCACGAGTCCCCCTCCCTCCGTGCCTCCTCGCGCCGCTCTGGGTCGGGAAGGAACCCCTGCGCTCGCGCCAAGAAGCCCTTCCAAGAACCTCCCTCCACTCCTGCTGTTCTACTGGAAGTCTGTATGTGTTTGTATATGTGGTGAGAGAGAGGGGAGAAAAAAAGGAAGGGGGGGTGTCACCGTTTCGTGACGGCGGTGACGACACACACACATATTCTCCGTTCTTTTCCCCTCAGTCGGCGCGCGGACGGCGCGAGCTCCTCCAGCCCCTTTGGCTCGGGCTGCTTCCTTCCTCCTCTTTTGTTTTCCTCTCCGCCCGGCTCTTGCCCCGCCTTGGCTTGCCCCATGTTCAGCCCGGATAAACTGTTGGGGCAGCTCTCCAAGCTGGACCGGTACGGGAACATGGCCTCCATGGGGGATTTTAGCTCCGTCAGCGCCAACATCCCGGCCACCCGGGTGGAAGTGTCCGTCTCCTGCAGGTAAGGGCGGCGGGGGAGGTGCTGAGGGCATTGTGCGCGAGGAGGGCGGCTTTCCCTCCAGGTGGGTTTTGTGTTTCTTGGGCGGGGAATCGCCCCCTGTTTGAGGCGCGGGCGGGAGGAAACGAGAAGCCTCCTATTCAGGGCGCCCCCTTTGGACGTGGCAAAGGCTGGTGACGCCTCCCTCCCTCCCAACTAGAGTTGTGTCTCTCTGTGTATACGTGTCCCCGACTTACAAACCACTCCTAGTTAAGAACAGGGGGGAAATAACAGGGAGGGAGAGAAATCAATCCCAAGGAATGGAAATCCACAGCAGGAAGAGTGATCCTGGGGGAAAGGCGTCTCCACAGAAGCTGCATCACCAATCCTTGTTTCCACAACAAGCCAAATGTTTCGAAATCCCGTGGTCACATGGACAGAAAGTGAGTTGAAATCACCAAACCCAGCATTGCCCAAACACGAATCAAGGAACATGAAAGGCACTAGGTTCTTGTAGATTTTTTCGGGCTATAGGGCCATGTTCTAGAGGCATTTCTCCTGACGTTTCGCCTGCATCTATGGCAAGCATCCTCAGAGGTAGTGAGGTCTGAAAGATTGGAAGAGGGGAGTCCCCTGCACTCCTTTATTTTTCCTTCCTCCTTCCTTCCTTCCTTCCTGGCGGCGTTGGCTCCTCTTCCCGGCTGGAAGGGATTATATGGCCCTATAGCCCGAAAAAACCTACAAGAACCTAGTGATTCCAGCCATGAAAGCCTTCGACAATACATGAAAGGCACTGCAGACTACTTCAACCAGAGAAATCAGCCATAGCAGAACACCTGATGAACCAACCTGGACACAGCACTTTATTTGAGAACACAGAAATGCTGGACCACTCTCACAACCACCATGTCGAACTACACAGAGAAGCCATTTAAATCCACTAGCATGTGGACAATTTCAACAGAAAGGAGGAAACCATGAAAATGAACAAAATCTGGCTACCAGTATTAAAAAACTCTAAAATTGCAACAGCACAACAACAGAGAGGAAGCAGGCAGGGACATCTAATTACCTCTCAACAAAAGTTTGCCCCAGGCACAGTCAGCCCATTGTATGCTAATCAAGGTAGTCAGTTGAAATATTCACACCTAGCTCTAGCAGACAAGAGTCCTTTGTCTCACCCTGGTCATGCCACAGATATATAAATCCTTTTGTCTAGTTCCAACAGACCTCACTACCTCTGAGGATGTTTGCCAAAGTGCAGGCAAAACGTCAGGAGAGAATGCCTCTAGACCATGGCCATACAGCCCGAAAAAACCTACAACAACCCTGAGTTGAAATCTTCTGAACATGGGCACAGACAGCAGAACAAACCCCACAGGGGTATTATTAACCCTTCTCTGTGGTGTCCAAAGCTATCTATATCTATCCACAAAGAAGGATTTGAACAGGGGCAGAGACAGCAAAACAAATCCCAATGGGGTGTTAACCCTTCTCTGTGGTCTCCAAAGATAGATGTTATATATACTAGCTATACACAGATATATAAATGCATATACACAGATATATAAACCCATTTTCCTAGTTCCAACAGACCTCACTACCTCTGAGGATGCCTGCCATACATGCAGGCGAAAGGTCAGGAGAGAATGCCTCTAGAACATGGCCATATAGCCCGAAAAAACCTACAACAAACCTATATACTAGCTGTTCCCTGCCACACCTTGCTGTGGCTCATTCTGCATATGTGTTTTGTGTGTGAATATATTTGTGTATATGTGTATATATGTGTGTTTGTGTATATATATGTGTGTGGTTTTGTGCATGCGTTATAATGTTGTTGGGGATTTTTTTGGTTTAAGCCTCTTCTGTTGTGTTTTTCAGTGTTTTATGAGTGATGGTCACTTGTTGGCCTGATAGGTGTATTGTGTCCAAATTTGGTGTCAATTCGTCCAGTGGTTTTTGAGTTATGTTAATTCCACAAACGAACATTACATTTTTATTTATATAGATAAGCAAGCTTTGGATGCTACAGAGAAAGGTTTGAACAGGGCCAGAAACAGCAAAACAAACCCCATGGGGTTGTTAACCATTCTTTGTGGTATTCAAAGCTAGCTACCTAGGTAGATATAAGTTTTGGATACCACAGAGAAGGATTTGGAAGCAGAGATACACCCACACATGTATGTATGTATGTGTGTGTGTGTGTGTGTGTGTATACACACACATACTAGAACGGTGATAAAACTGATGAAGATATATCATCCAAATGAGCCTTCCAGTATTTATGTAAAATAATATGCTATATTAATCTTATTTAATGACATTTGAAAGCCTGCTTTCTTAAGTTGAATTTGTATGTAAGTCAGAACAGGTACATGTTTAAAGTTTAAAGTACATTTTAAACTCCAGCCAAGAAAATCTTCTCAAAAGTCAGGGGCCGTCTTATACGCAGGTGTAGTCTTATGCATGGGAGTCGTCTTAACTCTATATTTTAACTGGAAAAGTTGGGGGTCGTCTTATACCCCCAGTCGTCTTATATGCCGGAATATACGTACATACATATGGCTGGAGTTACACTTAAAATGCACCTCTTCCAACTTACAAACCAGTTCAACTACAGAACCTATCTTGTTCGTAACTTGGCACCCTTCCAGACAGGCCCTATATTCCAGGATCTGATCCCAGGTTTTCTGTTTATCCCAGATTATCTGGCAGTAGGGACTCGTATAATCCAGTTTAATGCAGAAAACCTGGGATCAGATCCTGGAATATAGGGCCTGTGTGGAAGGGCCCTTGGGGACTGTCTGTATGTGGAAGGAAGATCTGCCACGATTTCCATGCTTGTTTTCCTGAGCGGGTAGCAACATGACTGAAGCAATTTCCTAATCCATTTCGGTTGTGTGTGTGTGTGGAAGGAGTGAAATCCCTCTTCTACATAAGTTGGGGCCTGTGAGGTGCCCACCCGGGGCAGTCAAGAGCAGCAACTCTCCATTTGCATGCTCTTTAAACTGATTGCTGTAATAGTGGAAGACAACAAGCCAGGGATCCCCTTCAAAAGAAGCCACAAAGCGCATAGAGTGAACCAGCACCCATGAGGATTGCTAGATGCCAGATCAACATTGCTCCTGGTTGTTTGAAAGTTACTGTTAAAAATCAGCCAAACATTATACCTCACTTTATACCATACATAAGCCCTGTATCAACTTGATGTTAATATAGAAATGCAATAATTCAAAGTAAAATTAGACAAAGTTAGCAATGTAACAGTTGTATTACATTATGCAAGTATTTCTACTTAAAGTATTTCTTCATTTCTTGTTTTGCCGGTTGCCTGAGACTTTTGATTGTTTATGTTCTGGTAACTGAGAGTCCATTGTGTATTGATTGGGAAGATACTCATTATTTAAAAATGACAAGACACCTTTACTTGCAGCGATATCCAGAGAGCAACAAGCTGCCTGTAAGGACTCCCTTCTGTCACACACACACACACACAGCAATCCACAGAAGGACTAGATTTCCTTTCTTATCCATCCTGAAAATGGAAATGCCTCGCTTGGACTTGTGTTTTGTGGAAGGGAACATGATCAATAAAAAACAAGTTTTCTGCCTGAACCCATTCCCTTTCACTGGTGTAATGTCATGTTCCACCTGTAGTGGCACTTTTTCATACTCCTGTGGATGTTGGACTTGGAGCGGGTACGAAATGGCTTTGCCTTATAAGTCAGAAAATCCTTTGCATTGGTGGTTTTATCTGTGTGTGTGATTTGGGCTTTCCCTGGACAGTAGGACACTTGCACTTCTCAGCATTTCTTTTACCACCATTTCTGCAAAAGGACGTTGTGAGTGTCTCCCCACTTTCCCCACTCATAAACATTCTGGATGTGAGCAAAATGTAGAAATGTAACATCCTGCTTTTTTATGAAAAAATACTCACGGATTGAAATTCAGATCTGTTCCCCTTTGTGATTGGAATGAATAAGATCTTGGTCTGGAATAATCTCTCTGTTTAGCTGTGCCGATACTGGTCCCCTGGAATGCATAGGGACAGTGCTATACAGTTGGGAGTTGAAATCCTCTTAGAGAGTCTAAGATGACAAAAGAAGGATAAGGCTGCCATTCCTTTTTAATTCCTAGTGACTTGACATGAGAAAGTTAATGAAGCTTCTCTAGCTGATTGCTTTTCTTCACATGATGGACACCATTCAGCAGTGATTTATGTCTTTCTACACTTTCTAAGCTAGTTAAAGGTGCTATTCTGCTCTTGGTTTTGGCACCGGATCACCTGATTATTCGTAACTCCAGGTACACAAAGGCTGCTGTACAGGTGCCCTTATTGTTAGCCTCTATCTGTTACAGAAGGAAGTAAATGGTGGGGAAATATTGATAGCATCATATTTCTGCAAACATGGGAGGGGCAGCACACCTTCCTGTTATTTATTAGAGGAGATAGAGTTCCTAAATAAGATTTATATTAAAGGAATTAATTTGAAATTCTCTTGTTAGGAAGCAGATAATGCAGCCCAATTTCTTTGGTCCTTCTCATACCTTTCCCTCCAGCATTCCACAACTGGGCCTTTCACAAGATGTGTTTTTGTTGTGATCTGTGATGCAAAAGATGTAATTAAAAGAAAACATTCTGGAGAGAGGCAACTAAAACTACTTTGTGTGTATTAAGTAGTCAGCATTCTTTGTCTGCTTTCATAATTCTTGTTTTTTAAAATCTTCATAGAACCTCAGTTCTTGGAGCTCTGACAAAGAAGGATAGCTTATTTTTCATAAAACACTTGAACTGAAGAAAAAAAAGACATTTATCTTACACAGAAGACTGGAGATCGGGGCTACTGTAATTATTTTTTTTCAAAATCAGCCTTATTTATTTAATTAATTTATATCATGCATTACTCTCTTAATGAGATCCAGGGCAGCTAACAGTAAAAGATAGAATCATTTTCTCTTAAGTTGAAAACACAGGGTGGAGCTGTGTATTGCCTTTAGGGACATACAGAACACCCTCATCT